ATTCTTGTCCTCAACGTTATTACAAAATGAATTATTTGTTCTCTTTCCAAATTCTTTTCCAAATTTTCCAAAATCATAATTTTTTTTCTTTGTCGGACTGTCTCTCTTTCTTTCCATCTACTTCTCTCTCTCTCTCTCTCTCTCTCTCTCTCTCTCTCTCTCTCTCTCTCTCTCTCTGCACAGAAAGACAACACGAAATGTTATGACACTGTGGCCACCCAAAACGACGGAATGGGATGGGCGGCTCACAAATACAAATACAAGGATATGCTCAGGTAAAGAGTCTTTTTAAAAAAAGTCATATCAGTTAGTTGAGTATTTTTTAGGGAGAGGGGGTAGATCTCTTTTTTTAAATACAGGGTTTGCCAACCTGGGCAATGTCGTCTACAAGTGGGCTATGTGGTAATTTTGATGGGCGTATATATTATTTAATTGATAGGCTCCGTGGTGAAATAAGGCACTCGTCAGAATGTTGACTTTTAAGAAACTGACATTTTCCTGCTGGTTTGACAAATTTTATTGAAGCTTTGTTTCCTTCCTCAATACCTCTTATGCCCATTTAATTAAGAACATATCTATGAGTGGATTTAGCTGAAAACGTTGATTAAAGGCTAAAAAATAAATGCTAATTTTCAGTTTCCAAATACTTTCAAACTATAGAAATCACCAAAGTTTGTCGCAATTTACTTACTAATCGTATCTCAGAAACCAGGAAACCCTCATCTCCTTCGATCTCCAATGTCTCGGCTTATATTTAAGATAGATAGGTATGATTTTCATCAAAAGCAAGACAAATACGCAAGCTTTAAGATGATACCAATGACTCCTCATGCCCAAAAAATGACGAGTGCCTGATTCCATCTCGTTGTGACATATTTTTACCCCACTTGGAATTACGTGTAGGTAGGTGGACGTTACAAAAAGATTTAGCTTCTGAAAGGGGGCAAAAGTGGACGCTGGCTACAATTAAGATTGGCAATAAATACTGATCTAAATATTATGCTAATCCAGATATTATTATAATTTTATTTCTTAGCATATCTGTCCGACTGTCTTCCTGTATTTTCCCCCGTCTTTCTGTTGGTGATTTGGTCAGTTCATTGTTTGGTCTCTATTTGTTTGTACTTCGTTCCTATCATGTGCATGTATATCAACTATCGCCACTGTTCGCAATTCTGTCTTTTTGCTGTAGAGTTGTCTGCCTAGCTATATGTCTGGCTGTCTGGCTGGCTGGCTGGCTGGCTGGCTTTCTTTCTGATTCTCAGTCAACACGACACTATCAGTTAAAATACATAATATCGTAACATTACTGTACTTTTTAAAACTTTAAACTTTACTTTGTTTTTTGTGGCTTAAAAGAAAGCAATAATCATTCATTGTATTGTTAGGTTAGTATAGAAGGGTAGCTGCATCTGTTCACCAGAGTTGCTTTTTTTTCAACATGTGTATTTACTTTTAGACATCTGTACAATAAGGATATTATCTGCTTGTTCTCCACCCCCACCCCAAAATCTCTCCGTCCCTCTTTCTTTCTTTTTATTTCTTTCTGTCAACTCCCATACCCAGCCATCAACACACACACACACACACACACACACACACACACACACACACACACACACATACACACACACACACACACACATACACACACACACACACACACACACATTACATAGAACTACTAAACTAATACATCAGTAATAAGTAACGAATATTAAGTGACTGGTTAAAATAAGTACACAAATAAAATAATGTTTCACATCATTTCTTAAAACAATTTTTTCTTCCTTTTTAGGTTCATCAACTGGCAAGCTGCCGCCGTGAAAGCTGTAGATCCAGGAGCATTGGTCACCATGGGAGTTTGGAACCCTAAGTCTAACACAGACCACTTCGGCAAGGTTAACCACTACTCCGATGCATGCCTCAGATTGGCTGGAGGGAAACACGCTGGCGTGTTGGACTTCTACCAGTTCCATTCATACAGCTGGCAGAACAAATGGGACAATGTATCGCCTTTCGTGGTAAGGAACTGACGCGGCGAGATAGTTTTGGTTATAGTTGAACTGATCGTCATCGTTTTAGTAAGAGTTTTTGCGACACTTGCAACACAATTAGGTCATATAAGTGCCGGTTGTTGTCATCAAGATAGAATGTTTGCGAGACATGCGTAAATCGGCCACTAGCACTGTGTGCTTCCCCGGTAGAAGAAAATGTTTTTGGGTGTTTTGGGGTCTCCAGGGGTAACTAAAGTTGTAAAGTGTATAGAGCTTGCTGTAGTGTTGGGTATGCATTATGTAAAGCAATTGTCATTTTTGCTGTAAAGACAAAGAAAGGCATTATTCTCACATGATTGCTCATTATGAAGTTATTTGTCTGCCTTTCAAGACAACATTGACAGCTCTGTCCATCTAAACTGCATTCATTAACAACATAATACCCCTCTCCATGGTCTCTTACACTCCTCTTCCCTCCTGCCCACACCCCCCACCTCCCTCTCTCTCTCTCTCTCTCTCTCTCTCTCTCTCTCTCTCTCTCTCTCTCTCTCTCTCCTCTTTCTTTCTCTCTCACTCTCTCTCACTCTTTGTCTCTCACACACACAAAGCTCTCCCTTCCACCTGAACGTGTTTTTCATCTCTCTGATTCAAGATGGTCTGTACAATGTCTCTTTTCATCCCTCACTCTTTCTATTATCGCTCTGTCTGTATTCTCATCTGTCTGCATTTGTGTCTACTCACCAGCCCCTCTGTCTATCTGCTTGCCTGTCTGTCTGTCTGTCTGTCTGTCTTTCAGTCTGTCTGTCTGTCTGTTCAATAATAATAACAGTTCGTGCTTCAATGCCTGACGATAATCAATCCATCTGCAGAGGAAAATCTTTCTTCATCAGGGGAAGTAGAAGAAATAAGGGACAAGACGACTACCATAATTTCTCACCACATCCCCACCATAATTTCTCCCACATCACCACCATAATTTCTTTCTCACCAAAACCCACCCCACTATAATTTTTCCCACATCACCACCATAACCTCTTCCTCATCACCGCCAAAATATCTTTTTTTTCTATCTGCCAGAATTCCGCATCCGCCTATGGCCTCAACAAACCAATCGTCGTGGGAGAATTCTGGGAAAAAGAGTCGGCTGGCATGAACATGAACGAGCTCTTCTCTTACGCCTACAACCATGGGTACGCCGGAGCCTGGTCCTGGGACCTGATGACCTACGGCCCTAGCCAGAGAGCGGGAATGACTCACATCAAAAATCTGTCGAACCACGGCAAAGTTCATATCGATCTCTAATTTATGTCAGTGCAGATTGCAACAACTTAATATGTCTGGCTTAGTTCACGTGCGCTTCCATGACCAAGTTTTGAAAGTGATAAGCTACTCGTTAACACAGCGAAACGTCTTAAGATTTTCTTTTCCTGTGTTGAACGTAGAGCTTAACTGGACTAACAAGAAAGTATTTTTTTGAAATAAAAAAAGGAAGTCTTCCTTCGCAAGCCTCTTATTTACTTCGTCCTTCTATTTAATAAATTTTGTAGGAGGGGGGAGGGAGGAGGCGGAGGCTGGAGCAAATGTTGACGTGGTCTTGTCTTTTCTTTGTTGAGCACAAGTCAAAATGCAAACCATGCAATAGCTCTAGTGAAGTGCAATTCAAGGTTGTTGTTGTTTTTAACAAATGTGTTTTGTTATAGCCAGCGCCCACTTTTGCCACTATTTTTTTTGTGTGTTCCCCTCACTTTCATGTATTTCCAAGTGGGGCGTTACATAAAACACGTCACTGCCCGGCGATCCCCACTGCCCATCAAAATAACCAAATCGTGCACTTGTGGGTGACAGCGTTCAAGTTGCGGAGCACTGCTCTGACAGGATGGTGTCAAGATACGGGAGAGAAAACAAATATTCTACCTCAACCAAATATTTTATGATTACCTCCCGTACCTTAGACATTTTCTCCGTTGCACTGTAGTCAAAAATGTCTTCAGAAACTGTGCAACTTTTATGTTTTCAACCTCGTTACAGTTATAATGTTCTTTACGTACCATAACATTATGGTTTTGAATGAGTTGATGTCAGTGGTACACGGATAATATTTACCTGAACTCTCTGGAACTATTTTACGGGTGTCAAAGGATGGAACCTCACCACTGGTCCGACATTGTGTCCTTGAGATACGTGCTTTACACGAATTTTCTTTGCTTCACCACAGGAGAGAATGGGTATACAGTTATATACACCGAATGTTCATGTTGGAGCGTTTGACCAGCTGCTTGCACTGTATGCTTCCCGAAAAGTGGAGAATGTTCCTGAAATTGCTGGAGTAAAGAAATAGATTGCAAAGCGTATAGAGCTTGTTGTTGAGCGGGAATATGTGCTAAACAAAATCTATTTCCGTCTTATCTTTTAGGCATTAACAGCGGCTAGCTTGTTGACTTTAAATCTAAAAGATCTTGAGCTTGTAACCTTCTGCCCTTGACCATTCTTGTATGTGGGTCGCCACGTTTGGTGCAGCGTAGAGATACATATTATATTAATCAGTGGTGTGGCTGGTACGTAAGTATAAACAAGTGGAGGGCAGAATCTTTCGTGCCCTGTTTACAGATCATAACAAGATGGGTTTTTTTTCCTTTTTAGTTATTGTCATTTTCACCATACTTTTTGGACAGCCCTCGTACCCGTTGAATAGGAGGACAAATGAAAGCCTTAGAATTGAGGTTCATGTCTCTCACTCCCACCCCCGCCCCTAACCTCAAGTCCTGGCAGATCACAAACTCATACGCATCACAGGCACACACACACACACACACACACACACACACACACACAAACACACACACACACACACACACACAAACACACACACATACAAACACACACACGCATACAAAATGTCATGAACGCAGACAGACATATTCACAGCCACACACAGATACATAGACACACAAACATACACCCACACACACTCACCCACATACACACACACACTCACACTCACACACACATACATGTACATACACTCCCTCACTCTCTCCCCCCCCTCTCTCTCTCTTTCCTACTCTCTCTCTCCCCCTTTATATCTTTCTCCCTCTCTCAAACGCACCAACAACACACAAACACGCACGCCCACACACACACACACACACACACACACACACACACACACACACACACACACACACACACACACACACACACACATACATACATACACACACAAGCATACACACAGACACACAGGCATAACTGTGTTTTATGCCCCCATCATAACAATTTACATAATTTAAGAGATGGGTTTCGACCCAGCTTATCAGGACCAACCCTGTCAGAGCGATACAACGTCCCAGCAGAAAGACCGACATTCTTGCTAAAACTGCTTCGTTCTCCCCACACACGGATCGAACTTCGGTTGTCTGCGTGCTATAGTGAAGCGTCTGCCGCTACACAATAGACGCCGGTCATGACATATTACACTGTGGAATTTTCCGCAAGAGATAAGAATCTTAGTGACTGGCCTTAGAAAGCTCTGTAAATATTATAAATACATGTCTGTACATCTTGAATTTTGCAATTAGGCATTTTTTAAAGAGAGTATTCAGTATTTGTGCCCCCTTTCTAGGTTAGAATACGAGGCAGAAACGATTGCTTACCTGTCCTAAAAATTCTTATCACAGGGGCGCGCTGTATTTTTTGTAATAACATTTAGGGATTTAGTGGAGAATGCTTGTTGCATAATGTTTGCCAATTCTCTCTCTCTCTCTCTCTTTCTCTCTCTCTCTCTCTCACTCTCTCTCTCACTCTCTCCCCCCCCCCTCTCTCTCTCTCTCTGACTCACACACACTCACACACACACACACACACACACACACACACACACACACACACACACACACACATATATATATATATACACACACACACTCACACACACACACACAACGTCCACTTGTCACACTGTTGCCTGTATGTAAATGATGCAGTTTTAGCCTGTTCTTCTCTCTTCATCGCCAAGTGACGTCATACTTCGTAGCCATGCGACATGGGACAATCATGCGCTCGTCAAGCTGGTAAAATCAAAGAAACCACATTTTTTTCCTACTGTTGGGAATTTTTTTTGGGCTCAGCACCTCTATCTCCATTTAGTAACACATTTCTGTCTTGGAATTTACTGTAAAACGCTGATAAGAGGCACAAACAAATGTAATTGTGTAGTTTCCAAGGACACTCAAACTTTAGAAGTCACCAGACTTTGGAGACCATTTTCTCGCTAATTTTAACTTTGACATCAAGCTACCTTCACCTTCTTCAATCGTAGATATCTCGGCTTCTGTTGAAAAAAAAATAACATAAAAAAGCGAGACAAATACAAAGGCTTTGAGATAATGCCAATAACTCCACAAGCCCAAATTGAAGCGCTCCCTGATTCCACCGTGTCGAGACATAAATGGTCTTTGAGCGCAGAGGGACAAATACGTGACAAATATAATTTGTCCCAGGCGAATACAAATAGGAAGTGAAGAATAGTGGTTACCATTATTAAAGAATCGACAAATTGATTAGTAAACTTCACCACCAAAAATATCTGCAGTCATTATGTGAATCCGATAAGGCTAAGAAAAGGCCACAAAATTTGCGGGCTTTTGAAACCACGCGGCTGGAAGCGACCTTGACCAACATGTGGAAGTTTACAGTTTAGAATAACAAACAAACAAAAAACAACAAAACAATAGAATAAGGCTAGAACGTTTTTGGTCATGCTGGGGAAACTTGTACCAAGTCTCAAGGTGACCTTTCCTGGGTCTAGCTGGGAGCTGAGCATAACAAAACAGAATTATATTATTATGTTGTAAAGATGTGTTCCCTATTTTTAATTTTCTACAGGAAAGCAGCCTTTCCTCGCTAAAAATAAGAAAATATCAGAAACAAAAACAGACAATCAGAAAAAAAGGACTAAAAACAAGCAAACACACAAACACACGCAACCCCCCCCCCCCAACAAAACAAACGTAAATCATATTAAATCAGGTGTCTTATACAGGGTGCCAAACGCCCGACCCGATCGCCTAAAAAACAAACGGGTTTGTTTTCAGTTTCAGGCGATCGAGTTGGGCGATCGGCCCGATCCAGCTGTAGTGGGCACCCCGTATTAGGCTCAAATTCTTACGCACGGGCATGTGAAGGTAAAGCTGGGTGAGTCTGGGCTGTATCAAGTATTCCACAAAACATACGTTAGGGCATCCTTATTCAAGAAGGGCCTACACACTGATCTAATCTTCTAAATCTTTATTTATGCTAGTTCTGAACATGAACGATTCTTCAGAACCTAGACTTCTCTTACTGTTGGGTGCCGGAGACCTGTCGCTAACTTAAAATTACAAAGTTCTATTTGCTCAGTGCCTAGTTTTGAGAGATTTGACGTCAGAAATTTTTTTCTCCCCAAAACGTGAAGCCTTTTGGAGTGAAACGCTTTGAATACCTCGATATCGACGACAAATAATCTTACGGTTTTGAGAGAGCAGAAAGACCATAGTTTCTGACCTCATGGTCTCAGTGACTCAAAACGGTCAAACATGTCAGACAGAACTTCGTTATTCTAAGGTATCGCTATGGCACCACTTCCTTTTTTTTGGCATGTGAGAAAACCGGTCGGACCACACTAACATTTACGTTTGATGTCAAGGAGGGACCGCGAAATCGTGAGTTTGAGACTCCTGCCTTGAAGAGTCATAAACAACCATAAGACAAAAACTACAAACAAACTTAAGATCAAGTTTTCCCAGTTGAACAATTTTTCCAGAAATGCTCTGAATCACCGATAAGGAAAAGAAAAACCCTTGACGTTGTCATCAACAGGCCCATCTCCAGAACACTACATGCGATAGAATCACGGAGGATTAAAGAGGATGGCAGAATCAACCAGGATTTCCGGTCAGAGTTGGTAAGAAAGTCAAAGCAAGATATGACCGTGTACGTGTCTAGCAATAACTTAATCTTCTTGGGGTATTAAGAGCTAAAGGAACTATTCACCAGCTCAAAAACGTTTACCAAATTTTGTGAGATTGTAGATGTGTTAAGGTCCTTGCAACACTTCTAAGTTATTCTGGAGGCGAGACTGCTTTATTAACGCCCATCTCCGATTGGATCGAGTCAAATGGGAAAAGCTGCCTGAAGTGCCTATCTCAAGGACACAAAATGTTGGACCTAACTGAGGCTCAAAACCCCGAAGTCGCAGTCTCTCAATGACGGGTCCGGTGACCAAACCACTAGATTACCGACACCACCCAAGTTTCCAATAGGCAACTGTTAGCAAGCAAGGCCCATACTGATTGAGTATGGCTCTCGAACCCAAACGCAATTCAAATTTGTATCGTATTTCAGAAATTGTTTTGTTTTGTTAATTTTAATCCTTTCAGCACTTTTTCTCCTTTACAACGGGGCAGCGTGTTCCTCTTAAAGAATTAATTCTTATGAAAATTCCAATTATCTATTTTCTGAAAATAACTTTTAAAA